AGTGAGATATACTTTAGAAAAGGGATCTAAGAAAATATTTTGTTCACTGTTTCCAATAACCACTGTTTCCAACAACCATTGTCTTTTGTTGTACCAATAATCATTGTTGATGGTAAAGTTGCTATTTGTTATGTTGAAGCTTGTGTGTGCACTGTGAGAATAAAATAAAGTATGAGAAAAGGTATTACAGATGTAAAATTAATTAAGTAAAATTCCTCTACTGGCAGTATCAGAATATATATATATATATATATATATATATATATATATGTGTGTGTGTGTGTGTGTGTGTGTGTGTGTGTGTGGCATATATACATATACATATACATATACATATACATATACATATACATATACATATACATATATATGATTAGTCCACTGAAAAAGTCTAGAAATAATGGCTAACACAGTAATAATGAGCCCTTCTTATACCACAAGTTTGTCAAATCTAAATATTAATTTTTAGTAAATGGAATCAGGGCTCCTCAGAAACTGCCAAATCCTGGTAAGTAGAAAAATGTTACAAACAAGCCTGGAACAGTTTGTCATTCCAGAAAGCAAGAAGGCTATCAAAGATTAATAAGATTATTTCAAAAGGATTCAGGTTAAATTGGAGAAGCTCCCATTGAAAAAGATGGGACAAACAAGCACAAATAAGATTAATAACTAAGATGACTTTAAGTATACTAAACCTTTTTTCATAATAAATTCATGATGTGTTTTAAATTAAAATAAAACTAAAAAAGACACTGCATTTGTCATTATATACTAGGGAAACAACACATTTTGAAAATGGTTAAAGAATCAAGTATTTATCCTTTTTTTCTTTTTTTAATCTTTATTGTTGAAAGTATTACATATGTCAACCTTTTCCCTCAATGACACTTCTAGCCCACCCATATCACTTGCCCCACAGTTCTATCACCCTATTGTCTGTGTCCATGGGTTGTGCATATAGGCATTCAAGCTCTTTGGTTGATCTCATCCAACTATCTACCTACCCACCTTCCCTCTGAGGTTGGACAGTCTATTCTATGCTCTGTCTCTGGATCAATTTTGTTCATTAGATTCCACATATGAGTGAAATCATGTGATACTTATCTTTCTTTAACTGGCTTATTTCACTTAGTATAATGCCCTCCAGGTCTTTCCATGATGTCTCAAAGGTAAGAGATCCTTCTTTTTTTATTGCTCCATAGTGTTCCATGATGTAAATATTCCACAGCTTTTTTATCCACTCATCTCCTCATAGGCACTTGGGTTGTTTCTAGATCTTAGCTATTGTCAATTGTGCTCCTATGAATGTAGGGGTGCATACATTTTTTTCTGATTGTTGTTTCAGGTATCTTAGGATATATTCCTAGAAGTGGGATCACTGGGTCAAATAGCAGGTTCATATTTAAATTTTTGAGGAAACTCCATACTGTTCTTCCATAATGGCTTCACCAGTCTATATTCCCACCAGCAGTGCACTAGGATTCCCTTTCTCCACATCCTCAATCAGCACTTGGTCATTTGTTGACTTGTTGATGGTAGCCATTCTGACAGGTGTGAGGTGATACCTCATTGTTGTTTTAATTTGATGACCAGTGACTTTGAGCATTTTTTCATATGTCTCTTGGCCATATGTATATGCACTTTGGAGAAGTGTCTATTCAGGTCCTCTGCCCATTTTTTAATTAGATTGTTTGTCTTCCTTTTGTTAAGTTGTATGAATTCCTTATATATTTTGGATATTAACCCTTTATCATATCACTGCCAAATATATTTTCCTGTATAGTGGGATCCCTTTTCATTTTGTTGATGGTTTCTTTTGCTATGCAGAAACTTTTTCTTTTTATGGAGTCCAATTTGTTTATTTTCTCCTTAATTTCTTTTGCCATAAGAGAAATATCCATAAGCATATTACTGTGAGAGAAGTCTGAGTTTTTTCTGCATATGGTTCTTTCTAGGATTTTATGGTTTCATGACTTGACTTACATTTAAGTCTTTCATCCATTTTGAGTTTATTTTTGTGTATGGTGTAAGTTGGTGATCTAGTTTCATTTTTTTTGCATGTATTTGTCCAATGTTCCTACACTGTTTATTGAAGAGACTGTCTTTATGCCATTGTATGCTTTTGCCTCCTTTGTCAAATATTGAGTGTTATGGCTTGGGTCAATTTCTGAGGCCCCTGCTCTGTTCCATTGATCTGTATATACCTGTTGTGCCAATAGCAGGCTGTTCTGATTACAGCAACTTTGTAGTGTAACTTTATATCTGGTATTGTGATCCCTCCAACTTTGTTTTGCTTTCTCAAGATTGCTGTGAATATTCAGGATCCTTTTGGGTTCCATATAAGTTTTTGGAGTATTTGTTCTAGATCTGTGAAAAATACTGTGTATTTTAATAGGGTTGCATTGAATCTATAGATTGCCTTGGGTAATATGGACATTTTAATTATGTTAATTCTACCAATCAATCCATGAACACCATATATTCCTACACTTGTTCATATCTTCTTCTCTCTCTATCTCTCTCTCTCTTTTTTAACTTTCTAGTTTTCTGAGTACAAGTCTTTTACCTCTTGGCTAAGTTTATTCCTTAAGTATGTTAATTTTTTACTGCAATGGTAAATAAGATTGTTTGTTTAGAAACTCTTTCTGAAAATTCATTATTGGTATACAAAAATGCCACCAATTTATGAGCTAATTTTGTATTCTGCTACATTGCTGAATTCACTTATTTAATCTAGTAGTTTTTTTGGTGGAGTCTTTAGGGTTTTCTATGCACAATGTCGTTTCATATGCAAATGATGAAAATTTGGCTACCTTTTCAATTTGATGCCTTTTATGTTTTCTTATTGTCTAATCACTATGGCTAGGACTTGCAATACTATGTTGAATAACAGTGGGGAAAGCAGGCCTCCCTCTCTTGTTCCCTTTATTAAGGGAAATTGTTTTAGTTTTTGCTCATTGAGTATTATGTTGGCTGTAGATTTGTCATATATAGCCTTTATTATGTTGAGGTATGATCCCTCTATTCCCACTATGCTAATAGTTTTTATTTAAAAAATGTGTGTAGGACTTTGTCAAATGCCTTTTCTGTGTCTATTGATATGATCATGTGGGTTTTTTGTCTTTCAATTTTTTTTTTATGTGATATATCATGTCTTATCTTTCTTCAAAGAATCAGCTCTTGGTTTCATTGATCTTTTGCATTGCTTTTTTAGTCTCCATGACATTTATTTCTGCTCTAATCTTTATTATTTCCTTCCTTCTACTTACTCTGGGCCTTTCTTGTTGTTTTCTTTTTAGTTATGTAAGATGCAGGGTTAAATAGTTTATTATTATTATTTTATTTTTTTATTTTTTTTTATTTTATTTTTAGGTAGGTCTGTGGTGCTATGAACTTCCCTCTCAGGACTGCTTTTGCTGAATCCCAAAAGTTTGGGGTTGTTGTATGTTCATTTTCATTTATTTCCAAGAATTTATTTATTTATTTCTTGATCCATTTGTAACCTATTCATTATTTAATAACATGCTATTAACATCCATGTGCTGGAAACTTTCTGAGTGTTTTTACTATAGTTGATTTCTAATTTCATTCCATTATGATCTGAAAAGATACTTGGTATGATTTCAATCTTCTTGAACTTATAGATAATTGTTTTGTGCCCTAACATATGTTCTATCTTTGTGAATGATTATGTGCACTTGAGAAGAATGTATAGTCTGCAGCTTTGGGATGAAATGTTCTATAAATGTCAATTAGATTCATTGGATTCAGTGTACCATTTAGAAAAACTGTTTCCTTGTTAATTTTTTGTCTTGACGATATATCCAGTGAAGTCATCAGGGTGTTAAAGTCCCCTATTATGACTATATTGTTATCAAACTCTCCTTTATAGTCCTCTAGAAATTTCCTTCTATATTTAGGTGTTCCTATATTGGGTATATATATGTTTACCAAGGTTGTTGGATCGATCCCTTTAGTATTATGTAGTGACCTTCATTTTCTCTTTTTATGGCCTTCATTTTGAAATGTATTTTGTCAGATATGAGTATTGCTAACCCAGTTTTTGTTTGTTTGTTTCCATTTGCATGAAAAAAAATTTCCAGCCCTTAACTATCATCTGTGTGAGTCTTTTATTCCAAGGTGTGTCTCTGTAGACAGCATACAGTATATATATATATATACAGAATAAATATATATATTCAAGCCTGGTGCATGAATTTGTGCATGGGTGGGGTCTGGTCAGCCTGGCCATGGGGAGGGGACATGGGCGGTTGGCCGGCCTGCCCTCTGGTCAAATTCCTGGTCAAGGGGGCAATTTGTATATTAGCCTTTTATTATATAGGATATACACTGAGTGGCCAGATTATTATGCATTCAGAGATCAAAATAATCTGGCTACTCAGTGTATATTTGTGTTATGTTTTCATGTCTATGTCTTTTGATTGAGCATTTGATCCATTTACATTTAAGATTATTATTGATAGATACTTATTTATTGTCATTTTTATTTTTTATGCCTATATTTCTCTCTGTCTCTGTATTTTCTTCCTCTCCTAGCAGTCCCTTTAGCATTTCTTGCAGTGCTGGTTTGGTGGTAATAAACTCTATTAGCCTGTTTTGGTTTGAGAAACACTTTATTTCACAACCTATTTTGAATCATATCCTTGCTGCATATAGTAATCTTCATTTCAGGCCCTTGCTTTTCATTACCTTGAATACTTCATGCCATTTTTTTCTGGCCTATAGAATTTCTTTTTTTTTTTTTTTTTTTTTGTGTACACATTTAGTTTTATTGTAACAAAGCAACTTGTACACTTTTAACGTTTAAAACTGAGCATCTTTTCTTTCCAGTGAAACAAAAAGAAAATTTAAAAATAAACAGGAACAAAATTACAATAGAGAAATGTCAATTCCGAATAAGATCCTACAGGTTCTGCTGATTCTCCCATCGAGTGGCAGGGCTCAAGTCATCATTAGGAGAGAATTTTATTTTAAAAGTGTCATCTTAGACTGCAAGGATGTCCGTTAAACATCACAATTAAACATGCCAAAGGAGAAGCCATGTTGTCAAAATGCCCACTTAACCCACCCAGACATCTCAAACCCACCCTTTGCTCACCTTCTATAACCCCCCCTTTTTTTAAGTTTTTTTTTTCTTTTTTTAAACAAGAGAAAGTAGACAGATACATGTTGGTAAATGCTAACTGTCCATATTCACATAGAGACACAGTGTAATCTCTGAGCCCAATATACAGAGAAAGGAGGGAAAAAGCTAGAATTCTATGCACTACTACACAGGGGCCTAGCAGCCTCCAGCTCCCAGCAGAGCGAAGGGAGCAGAAGGCTTTTCTTTTTTCCCACAGAGCACGTGGTGGTGATTCCATTAAGTTTTTCTTGAGACAGGAAGGGATAAAAATGAATTTGGAACAGAAAGGGGCAAAGATTCTTTTCCCACTGTATTCTGCTCAAGGTACATCCCCCCAAATAAGGTGAGGACCATGGTGTAAAGGAGAGAAAAAGAGACCTCAAAAACAGGGCGACTGAGCACAAGAGGGGGGGGAGGGAGAAAAAGGAAAAAAAGACTGCAACTTGCTCCCAGGGACTGGAGAAAACTAAAAAAGGTTGGAATCCATTCGTGTTCATTAGTCATCTTCTCCTTCATCTTCCTCTCCTTCTTCCCCCTCATCATCATCTTCATCTTCTTCACCTTCATCCTCATCCCCTTCTTCATCAATATCTTCCAACCCTTCCTCCTCTTCATCATCATCATCATCTTCTTCTCCTTCTCCTTCTTCATCATCCATGTCAGGAACCAAGTAGTACTGTAAAGGATTTGGCCAAATGTCATCTTTGATGACTTCTCCTAACTCATCTGCACCTGCATCAGAATGGTCAGTAAACCAGGTGAAGAAACTCTCTGGTTCCTCATGCTGTCTCTTCCTGCTGGCTTTATTCTGTGTTTGACTTGAACGTTTCGTCAAATCCTTTCCAGATTTCCATTTGATTTCAGTGGACTTTGAAGATGGATCACCACTCTCATTCAGATGAAATTCTTTGGAGAGAACTTTATTTTCGAAGTAAGGATTTTCATCAAAATAAAAATCTATTCTGTAACCTGATTTAATATCTTCAAATTCTGTCACTTCAACTCTTGTCAAATAATGCAGCGCCTCTTCATCTTCTTCCCCAAGCAGTGCAGACACTTGTGGATGGTTGACAAATGTTGTTACCCAAAAATTTGGGATTTTGGCGATCAATTCTGACCTCTTCTGAAAAAATGGTTGGCGGAGTTTGTTATATTTCTGTTCTACTTTCAAAATCTCCTCACTGGCTTGTTCATTAAGTCTGTCTATTTCATTTTGTACTTCATCAATGTGTTCAATCGCTTCTTGCTGTTCTTTTTCTGAGGTCTCGTCGGCCCCGTCGTGGTTGGAGTTGAGCTCCTTTTTACTGACTTTGGCCGCCGGCGCCGACATGGTGCTGCTCCGCGGTCGGGGGGGGGGGGGGGGGGGGGGGGGAGCGGGGAGGGGGAGCGCAGGGACGGCGAAGGGGGCGGGCAGCGGCTTCCCCTCACGCCACGCGCGCGCGGGCGCTCGCTCGGGCCGGCCGCCTCCTCCCGCGCCGCTCGTTCTCCCTCCCCCTGCCTCGCGCGCGCTGCCCTCGCGGCCTGGCGACGAGGGCGAGGCTGCGGCGGCGTGCCGGGCCCGGCCCGGGCTCCTGCTTACGGAGGGGAGGCGGCGGCGGGCGGGCAGGCGGCCGGGCTCCTTCACTCACGCTCCGCGATCCAGCTCGCTCTGGCCTATAGAATTTCTGATGAAAAATCAGCTGACAGCCTTATGGGAGCTCCCTGGTTTGTAACAAGTTGTTTTTCTCTTGCTGCCTATAACGTTCTCTCTTTGTCTTTAATTTTTGGCATTTTAATTATGATGTGTCTAGGTGTGGGCCTATTTGTGTTCTTCTTGCTTGGGACTCTCTGTGCCTCCTGAACTTATATAACTTTTTCCTTCACCAGGTTAAGGAAATTTTCTGCCATTATTTTTTCAAATGGGTTCTCTATCCCTTGTTCACTTTCTTAACCTTATAGCACTCCTATGATGTGAATATTATTGTTTCATGCTATACCTCAGCTCCCTAAAGCTGTCCGTGTGTGTGTGTGTGTGTGTGTGTGTGTGTGTGTGTGTGTGTGTGTGTGTTTTAGTATCTTTTTATTGCTTTTAGAGAGGAAGGGAGAGGGAGAGAGTGATAGAAACATCAATATAAAAATCATTGATCTGCTGCCTCCTGCACACACCCTACTGGGGATCAAGCCTGTAACCCAGGTATGTGTTGTTGATTGGAATCTAACCTACGAACCTTCAGTCCACAAGCTGATGCTCTATTCACTGAGCCAAACCAATGAGTGCTGTTATCCTGCTTTTCTTTTTTTGTTTTTCTTTTTGATTCTCTGATGAGTACTTTCTTTTTCTACCCTCTCTTCTGGTTAACTGATCTGGTCCTTGGCTTCCCCTAATATGCTGTATATTCCTTCCAATGTCTTCTTTTATAGTGCTATGTCATTCTTCATTTCCAGTTGGTCTTTTTTCATAGTTTTTATATCTTTTCTCATGCTTTTGAGCATCCTTACCATTATTATTTTGAACTCCATAGCTGATAATTTTTTAAAAATATATTTTATTGATTTTTTACAGAGAAGAAGGGAGAGAGATAGAGAGCTAGAAACATTGATGAGAGAGAAACATTGACTGGCTGCTTCTTGCACACCGCCTACTGGGGATGTGCCCACAACCAACGTACATGCCCCTGACAGGAATCAAACCTGGGACCCTTCAGTCCACAGACTGACGCTCTACCACTGAGCCAAACCAGTTCGGCCATAGCTGATAAATTTCTTATCTCCATTTCATTAGGTCTCCTTCTGGAAGATTCTTTTGTTCTTTTTTCTGTGTATTTTTGTTTTTGTTTGTTTGTTTTGTTTTGTTTTGTTTTGTTTTTGTCTCCCCATTTTTTTCTGCCTGTTTGGAGTATGTCTAAGTATTAGGTAGATCTGCTATGCCTTTCAACTTCTGGTGCAGGACAATGTCAGATGCTATTTGTAAGTGAGTACCCTCTTTGGAGCTATCAGCAATCCACATCTTGTGGCTTCCTCTACTGGGGCTGGGTACCTCTGGAAAGGAACAAAATGTGCAGCAAGGTTTGCTTTTTCTAGCCCCAGACCCAGAAGGGATTAAGCAAAGACTCAAAGCCTCCAGAAATCCACCTCTGTCTGCAGTCTGATTGTTATTCAGTCTTGATTAGCCTCAGGCTATTGACTGCAGAGTGGGGTGGGAGTTTTACAACATGGTGGGGCAATTGCTTCCCCTCCAGGCAAAAGCCTCCTGGATGGTAAAGGTCTTCCAGAGAAAGATGGTCTCTGCAATATGAGGAAATGACTCAACACAGGAAACTGGCTGCCTTCTGAGTACTAACCCAAGAGTTCCTAACCCTGGATTCTGCTTACACAGCTCTAGTCCACTCTGCCATTTCTCTGCCAGATCCCACAGTGAGTGGTTGGTCATGAAATTTTGTGTGTTGGCCCTTTAAGAGAGTGCCTGCATTTCCTGCAGTCTCTCCCTAGCTCATAGCAACCCTGTTGCTTTTCACAGCCAGATGTTATGTCAGCATCCCTCTCAGTTCTGCTGCTCTGGGCTGATCCGCCCAGCTTTGGGTTTAGCACCTCAGGAGTTCTCAGCAGGAATTCTCCTCAGCTGAGATATCCCTGTGGAACTTCAGCTGCTGTCTGTGGAAGCCCAGCCAAACCTTTCATGGCCCCACACTTCCTACCATTCTCTCTGCACTCTCCACTTTTTGTCCTTTGTTATCAGAGTTCTCTCCAGCTAGGTGATTGATTATTCAGGATAATTTTTCTGTTTTTTAGTTGTAATTCCAGTTTGGTCCTGCGACCGTAATTAGAGTAGCTTCCACTTACTCTGCTGGCATTTTGGAATTCTCTAGCCTATTTTTCATATATAAACACTAAGTTAAGGTAATTAATTAGCTGCTAATGATAAGTTTTCCTATACAGAATTTTTCTAATAAGTGATGAGAGAATGAAAAATTAGAATATCGCTTTTTTGTATCCCTTGTGAATGAACAAATCCACTCAAGTAATTATTGTCCAGTGGTGGTTAACATTGAGACAACAGAAAGAAAAAAAATATTAGCTATTATGTGCTTCTTGATGTGCCTATATAACCTATGCAGTATTGAGCCAGAATCTAATCATGCCTTTAGAGCGAGCTACCAGTTTACAGGAAATTCAGGGAAGAGATACGGGAACCTTTGAATGAAAACAACAGCCTACATCAACAAAACTCATTTACAAGACAAACAACCCATTTTTTTCAACAAGAAAAAAATTTGCAAGAAAAAATTAGAAAGGAGAAGAGAGACAAAGAAGAAAAGAAGGAATCTATAGATTAAAAGAGATTTAAAGCTAACCTTGCAAAGACTAACATTATCAAGTGTTGGTGAGGATGTGAAGCACTGAGACCTCTCAAAAAAATCAAAGGAATAACTTTTCAATCATCTAATAAAGTTGAAGGAATATATCCTATGACCCAGAGATTCTAATCCAAAGTATTTACCCTATTTAAATCTTTGTACATGAGTACCAGGAGACATGGAAGTATATGCTAAGAGCAGATGTATTCCACAAATTTAAATTCCCAAATTAATAACAATTAAATTCCACAATTAAGTGAATTTGTAAAAACCTGCTGATTACTCATACAATAAAACACTATGAAATAGTACAATAAATTAACTACAACTCTGTGTAACATGAATGCCACTCAAAAATATTGTTGGTAAAAGTAACCAGACATCAAAAAAACAATGTATGGATTCATTTCTATAAATTTCAGTTACAGATAAAATCAAGCAATGGCATCTTTGGATGTATATTTATGTAGAGAAATTTTTAAGAAAAACAAAAAGTGAATTACCATCAAAGTAGAGGTAGAATTACCTTTGAAAAGGAGAACTACAGTTGAGAACAGTTATGCAGGGGGCTCCAGAAGCTAGCGATGTTTTATTTCTTGACTCAATATGGCTTTACTTTATATAAAAAAATTAAACTGTTCTTATGTTTAATATACTTTTTTATATCTAATATATTTTTTATATGTAATATACTTTTTATATGCATTGTATACTTTTTTATATGTATTGTAGCAATAAAGAGTATTAAAATGTCAAAAACTGTCTGCAGAAAAAAAATCTAACCTTAAAAAAAAGACAGATTTAAGAGTCATACTTTACACGCTATATGAAAATTAACTAAAAGTTGATAAAAAAAAAAACCTAAACATAAGAGCTAAAACTATAAAACTCTTAAAAGAAAAAA